AAGGACTAGTAACAAACAATCTGCAGTTTCAGATCATAGCTGCGATAATCTGAGCATATCTTGCGAATGCATTCAGAAAGGAAGGCGAAAAAGCTATTACCTACTTAACCGACCGGTCAAAAACCCTGGGGAAAGCAAACAATCACGAGAGGAAAGTGTCTCGAAAGACTCTGCTCCAGACTGAAGATATCTTCTGACCAAGCAGAAACGGGATCGCCAAGGTAAAACACAACTTCCGCCTCAGCGATCGCAACCGAAGGGATAAGCCCTCAACGAAACTGATTGACTGACGGGTAAATAAAAATATTTAATTCTACTACATAAAGCTACCAATGAATTTGGGTAGAGAATTGAGGTTTGTAGCGTTAATTTTAGCATGAAGGTAAAATGACAGGAAAAGTAATTCGAACAACCACACATTCCATAGGCATGCTGGCACAGTGTCTAACACGACTGCTTCGAACTTCAGAGGTGCCCGATTCGATTCCATTCGAGAGAAATCCTTAACTTATTCAAAAATCCCTTAAGCAACGAATTTAACATACATTAGTTCAGACCGCGGTTGATGAGTCGAGCTCTGAACCAGCAGATCCCGAATTAAAGCCCTCTCTGGTGTCAATGGCCCATCTTCCTTACGAAGTTGATAAATCAGTAGCATTCGGTGGGAACAAAACAGGAGAATACATGCTACGCTTGAAATATGGCTGTAAACTGTGCCTTAAAAGAAGTCATTAATAAATGATGACATAGAAATGGCGATCAGAGTCGCATCATCATTATCAAGAAAAGAAAGGCGCCAAAAAAGCCCAATCATGAAAATGGACATCGACGGTGACATGATCAAAATTTCTAATTTCGTTAGGGGCGAAACGATGAAGTGTTGAAACAACAAATATAGGAAAGTAATTTAGCTTGTACCACGCAAAATTTTAAACCGACTTACGAATCAGAATGGTTTTATTCTCAAAAGCAGAGAATACAACCTACTACAGTAAACGAGATTTTGCTCCGCTAAATACAGTAAAGTAAATTCAGACAAAGGCTAGATTCATATAATAGTGAAATTAACGTATAAAATCACCATATGATCACCTACCAATTCAGTATATGAGTACATGTGAATGGCAACCGTTCAATGTATGAAGGGCAGGTTCATTAGATGCACATCAGTTGCTGACATTAAATGTACAGCAGAGCCAAAAAAATCCTTGAAAAGGCAACTGCAGGACAAATAAAAACTATTAAAACATTTCATTTATTAATCAGTCAATCAATCAAGTTCATTAGCTAAACAATGGAGGCTGAACAGTCTTATTACTATTTATGCTCAAAACATCGAAGAACTAACTCAGCCGTTGCCGGTGCCACGTTCGGTAGAGAAACGAGGAGTGATGGAGACCTGGGCGAAATCTCCGTAAAAACTAGCCACCTGCCGTTCACGGTATTGACGTCGTCGAAAAATCTACCGGCTCGTATGTCGCCCGGGTTACCAAGGGGCGCGAGGATTTTCCCGGACTGAGT